AGCAGGCACTGTTATATGATGACAAAAAAGGCAAATTAATTTTTTCTAAAAGCAACAACTCCTTTGGTTAGCACCTTCTGGATAACAGCCAGTTGACTTCCTCTGCACAACAGAAGGCGGCCCTGGACCAAGCAAATATAGAGATCAAGTGACTGATGTGTACATGGGCTCTTGTTAGATCTCCACTTGGGAGCTAAATCTGAAGTGGGAAAGAGGTTAATGTGATGGATTTCTAATTCATTATGCCCTGCAGGCATTGGTTCAAATCCCATCCTTGTTGATAATTTAGGACTCTTGCCCGATGTTCGTATCCCTGTCTCTGGTTTAGAATTTTGAGGTTCAAGTTATCCCTACCATAACCTGTATGAGCAGTTGATTAAAAATAAATGAGAGTGTTACATTGTCAGGTGGAATATGCTTTGGAGGAAGCAAAATAGGAGGTAAAACTTCAACCTGATTTCAGCTAACACAATTTTTGAAATTCCCTGATCATATCACTCTGCATGTCAAACCACTGTATCACCTCTTTAATTAGAAGTTTTTGAAAAAAATGAACTCTAGCTTCTGTTCCTTGTTGTAGGAAGAGAAACAGTCTAGTACCAAAAATGTACAGGATGAAAACAGGACTATAAAAATGCAATTTTCAATGCATGAGAAATAATTGATGCTTTGATGTTTAATTGTTCTCATTATGAAAAAATTAAAAACGCTTACAACCAGTAGATTAAGTACCTTAACTACGACATTATTTGGAAGAAAAATAATGGAAAGAATGTGTAGAACCTTTTTTTTGTCCAAGAGGCTTCCAGATAAACTAATAAACATACCCAATTGTGATCAGTGATAGCCATACTGTGCATAATGAAACCTGTACTAACTCACTCTTCTAGTTAATGCAGCAGATATCATTGTATTGCTCGTAGTGAGCTGGCAGATATATCGTGTTACAATACAAACGACACTTTTATGCTGTAATATCTGGGGCACTAACATACGTAATTTTATTTAAATCCCATTTTCAAAGTACAACTGACTTAACTGTTTTTAAATTAAAATGACACTGTCTCTCTATCCAATTCACTCCCTCTGTCACATAGCCATATTTCACTCATTAAAATTCAAATGAAAACCTGCTCCAACATATGGAGATATGCTTGCTGAACCATAGGACTTACTTTAAATGGTGTACAATAGGTAAATAATGCAGACAAATCTATGTTCCAAACTTTCTTCCTCAGATTTGGCAAACAATTGAATAGACTTTGTAAGAGACTAAAAGCGATGCATTCCATTATAGATACAATTCAACTTAAATGCTACTGATACCTGAGAATTTTTCACATCACATTTGACCAGAGTTAGAGGGGTTCTTCTATTCACATAACCAGCTTGCTTGGGAAAGAGTAAAAAAAAAACTTCACGGCTCATCAATTTGGGAAGAAGCGGACACTTGCAAGTAGAAAGTTTAATTAAACGTATTAAAAGGCAAAGAATAATGGCAAAGTTTAATCATAGAATCAGCACAGAAGAAGGTCAGTTGGCCAAATATGTTTGCACCAGTTCTCCAGATGAGCATTATGAATTTGCACCATCCTCCTACCTCTTTTCCTTATTCTAGTACTAATGTCATTGTGAAATTTGAAATGTTAAGTGATTAGTTAAATTATTGATTGCAAAATACTTATTTTGATTTTCCTATTATCAACTATTTGCATTGAGTTTTCCATTGAAATTGCTGCCAAATGGGTCTTCAATTATAAAATATAACACAGGAAATAGGTTTAGTATGGATTCCATAAAACCTACCGTATAAAAAGGCAATTTGATCCAATTAGTATTTTGGAAGTGAATAAAATAGTTTTACTTTAAAAAAAAAGAAATATACAGCTAGACTTGAAATGTTAATATTTACCACTGGATTGATTATTGAGTTGATCCTGTTCAGAACACCGTTGAGCCCTATCCTCATCAATCACAACGCAGATCTCTGCAACCTCACAGCCGTTTCAGTAGATATTGTGATCTTTGGGTTCATCTTGCCACAATTCAGCATGCGCTTCACTGTCATCACCTCTATTTTCAGTCTTTTTTGCTGCATGAAGGGAACTCATTGTGTTGGCCTTTATTCAGTACTTCTTAAAATTTTGGGCAGAATCAGGCTGTTCAGTTTCTGTTAGGGGACAAATTTATATTTACCTTTCTGACTAATTTTATGTTTTAGTGGGAAGAATAGATGACTACAGTAATGCTTTTAAAAATGAAGTGTTTGTTTTGGTCTAGTTGGAAAGCTATAGAATTCTTCAAATGTTCAGGTTGTTTTTCATCTTCATTTTGAGCGAGACAGTGCATTTCTTTCAGGAATATTATTGCTGTATGTCTGTTATACGGATTGTAGTGGTAGTTACTAGTTACCATTAGTGACTTTTCAGAATCATTTCAGTGTACGTTCCTTCATACCTGCTGAGATGTGAAGAGAATTTGATCAAGATACATAATATTCTACTTTAGGGGCTTGATTACAAAATGTAGACCAAGTTTTACTCCACTCCTGCTTTATGGGGAGGTACCTTCTGTTGGTTGGGGCATTAAAAAGCAACCTCCTCCCTCCTTTCAGGTAGATGTACAGGATCCTGAGCATTATTTTAGAGAAGAGCAGGGAGGCTTACCTTCATACCTTGTCTAAATTATACCTCAATCAACGTTGTTAAAACAGGTGACCTTGCAATTACTATTTATGGCAGCCACTTGGGTACAAATTGATCATTATAATGTAGGATGATAAGGATGATCACAGCTTGGAAGGAACATTATTGCATATTAAATACTTTCGAACAGCCTGAAGTAACAAAAAGGTCCCAAAAGAAAGAGCTTGCATTTACTTTCAACTTTTAGCGCACATCACTCCTTCAAAAACTCGAAGCAACAATTTGCCTATTTGATTACATCTAGGCCTTCACAAAGAGAGCATATATAAGGAAAAGGAGTTTGCTTTTACAGATATTTTCTAATCAATCTGTTCTGAGATATTATTACCTTATTCTGGAGCAGGAAGTGTCTTCCCTCAGGGTATTTCAAGGCATCAGCAGTCATTGCTGCAGCTAATTTACGCACTGCAATAAATAGTTATTTGATGAAGGACCATATAAATTAATTTCAGTGAGGGTAAATGTTAGCTAGGACATCGGGAGAACTCTTCTGCTGTTCAAGTGCCATGGGATGTTTTATATCCATCTGAGAGAGACTAGATGGAGTTTCAACTGGATGTCTCAAAAGACAGTATTTCTCATAGCACTCTCTCAGTATTTCACTGAAGTGTCAGGTGAACTCCATGGTCTTGTAATGTGGAGGTGCAGGTTGTACCTCTGATTTAAGACACAAAGTGCCCTAACTTTAATGTCCTGATTATCAGTCTCACCTTTATAAGCAAATCTAATGTTTTGAAGAAACAATCTATTTGAATCCATTCAGACACAACGTTGTTTTCTCTAAACCTTAATAGATCAGAGAAGGATAAAGCTCAACTTATGTGATTGTAGGCAAGTTTTCATAGGTTCAAAAGTGCAACATGTAGCCCATTCCAACATGCATTTTATTCAGTTAGGCACAAATGCAAACACGTTCAGCAAAAAATGCAGAAAAATGCTGTTCAACAGCTTACAGTAGAGGGCAGTTTAGAACAGTAGAACACTCATCAGCTCGGGTTGGCTGTTCAAGGCAACAGCTTTTCATGTGACTCCCAAGTAAATATTCTCACTTTTTCAAATCAAAGTTCACAGCTGTTCACCGTAGACCCATGAAGGAAAAGCAATAAAGCACTGCTGGGGGTAGAGTAAAAAGCTTTACACTGAGTTTATTATGTATATTTGCCAGACAATTGTTTTAATGAAGTCAACGGATTAAATAGGGTCAAGTTTTCATCAAGTAAAATATGAAATGACCATACTGTCGTATCCACAAATGATAGTTTCCTTCCTACACTTATGAAACTAGTGATCATTGTTGGATTGTAAAGCTATTGATGTCTAATAGGAAATAAATTATCTTGGTAGTAAGTCTTTTATAAATATATCTTGAATATTAACATATAAGCATGTAAACTTTGGACAAATTTTTGTGCTTCTTGAAAGAGCAAAACTTTGAAGGACACTATTTTATTAATGGTGCCTTCGGCTAATTCAAATTTAATCATGATTTTTCTTGTGAAATTAGTCATAATCCATCTTTAAATGAGTTGTGGAACATAAACAGAAGTTGCTGGAAAAGCTTAGCAGGACTGGCAGCATCTGCGAAGAAAAATCAGAGCCAACACCTCAGGTCTGGTGACCATTCCTTAAAACGGACCCGAAACGTTAACTGTGACCTCTCTTCATAGACGCTGCCAGATCTGCTGAACTTTTCCAGCAACTTCTGTTTTTGTTCCTGATTTACAGCATCTGCAATTCTTCCAGATTTTATTCAAATGAGTTGTATTTTTCTTGGACAAATTCTCAACAAAAGCTGGTGAAAACTTATGAAACGACTTAATTTTTCACACATCACTTACTGCTTAGGCCAGGAGCCTTCAGTTACAATCATTTCTGTTAACCTTGATGGGATTTTAACAGACCATTTGGTGATGGATGGATATTATGCGAAAAGTCCTTCTGCTTAAATAATAGCATTCATATTTATTTATTGTGGTTATGAGATTTCTTAAGTGCCAAATGCAAAGAACTGCTTGAAGTACAGTATTAATCAAGCAAAACTGGTGAAATAAAATCCCCAGATGTACCTTGAAACAGTTTATGACCCTTCACTATGCAATGACTGATATTTTGTGTCTCATGATTGAAGTGTCCCAATCTTTTCAAGAACAATGCCAATATACTTTATTTGTGACTATTCTTGATTGTGGTATTTATTATTCTGTGTGAATTTTTTTTGGCTTGTATAGAGTCTGTATTCAAAATATGCAAGGTAAAACTTGGAGTTGAAGATACTAATATAAAGCTTATTCTTAGTTTCCAGCATTGAATCTGGAAGGAGCCATGACAGCAGGTGGAGGAACTGATGATGATATTCCATTAGGAGAGAGGAAAACAGTTACTGATTTTTGCTACTTATTAGATAAATCCAAACAGCTCTTCAATGGTTTAAGGTCAGTGTTTTAAATCAACTGGGTTCTCCTTTTAACTTTTAGCGACAGTTAATTCAAAATATTTTCTTTAACAATTTTCTTGGGGCAGTTCTATTTCGTAAGGTACTGTACATCATATATTTGTCTTCCATTAATGCACATGTAAGTTGGATTTTTTTTGAAGCTGTTCAAAAAGCTCAAATGGTTTTCACCTTTTATTGCACTTGTGAAAGCAATACCTCTGTCAGTTGGTGTTTTATTCTAACTATCAAATAATTTGTACAAGAGATCCAGGACTAAAATGCTCTTTGAGAAAGTGTTTTGAAGTCTGGAGGGTGAATTCAATGGCCTGTTTTATTGCCCTATTAAGAAAATATTAAATGATTTTATTCAAGAAATAATTTGTTGCGAATCAGTGGAGTGGACATGCTAATCTTTTCCTTGGAACTGTGATATTATTCTGAAAGGTGCAACATGAACCCAAATGATATGGGACTGGTATGTGAGCTGCAAATGAATTGTTGAAGCTCAAGCTGCAGATGCTTCATTCAGACAGGCTGTAAATCAGGAGTACAGCTCTTGATGTTGATCACTTTAATTGGCACTGTTTGTGCTAATTGTGCTCGCTGCTGCCCAACTGTGCAAAAAGCCTGATCTACTCTGAAGAGAATGTTGTTGCAATTTATGTTTTACAGGAGAGGAAAGGTAGTTTAAAGTTGTCAAAAAGTGATATTCGTAAAAGCAAATGGAAATATTTTTTGCAAATGTAACATTTTTTTCGGAAAGAAAATGTTTAGTTTGCAGTTTCAGAGGAACTTACAATGTGTTATGCCTTACAATGCCTTAATAAAGAATTAAAATTCATGATGTATATTGTAATAAGGCAACACTCAGAATCAAAGAGTCAAATGTTCAAGTCTGACCCCAGCCTGACTCCCACCACGCATTCCTTCTATTAAGCAGTTTCTGTAATACTTGTGCTAGAAGTTCCCATAGCATGTGCAGCCTGAGGTTGACCTGTCTTGCATGCTTAATAATTTCACTAGACTTGAATTTGAAATACATGAAATGTGTTTGGTGGGGATTCCAAATGTTACAAATAACGGTTTGCTACAATTTCCTTTTCTGATAGAATGCCATTTATATTTGGTGTCTTGTGATTGGTTGGCTCACCAAGCTGGTTCGTTGTTCCGCAGACGTTTCATTACCTTGCTGGGTAACTCATTAGTGCAGCCTCCGATGAAGCGCTGTTGTGTTTTCCCGCCTGTTATTTGAACTCTAGTGTCCATCGGGCTGGATTACCTCACTTCCGGTTTTCCTTCGCAGTGGAGTGTATATAGGGTCGAGCTCTATGTGTTTATTGATGGCTTTCTTAGTGGACTGCCAGGCTTCTAAGAATTCCCGTGCTTGTCTCTGCTTTGCTTGTCCCAGGATCCTGGTGTTGTCCCATTCGAATTGGTGGTTCTTCTTATCCTTATGTGGATAGAGATGAGTGAGTATTGGTCGTGTCTTTTTGCTGCCAGTTGATGTTTGTGTACCCTTGTGGTTAATTTCCTTCCTGTTTGTCCAATGTAGTGTTTGTCACAGTCTCTGCAGGGAATCTTGTATATAACATTGGTCCTGTCCATAGTGGGTAGTGGGTCTTTGGTTCGGGTGAGCAGTTGGTGAAGGGTTGATGTGGGTTTGTGTGCTACTCTCATGTCCAGTGGTCGTAGGAGTCTTATGGTCAGTTTAGATGTGTTCCTGATGTAAGGTAGCGTGACGAGTGTGTCGGGGCGTGTAGTATCTTCCTGGTGTCGTTTGTGTAATAGGCATCTTCTGACCCAGTTTTTCGGGTATCCATTGTCTTGGAATACCTGGAAGAGGTACTCTTCTTCTTCCTGGCGTAGCTCTGTGCTGCAGAAGTGTGTTGTTGCCCATTTAAATAATGTCCTCATGGAACTTCATTTGTGTGTGTTCGGGTGGTTGCTGTCAAAATTCAGTACTTGGTTAGTGTGTGTGGCTTTCCTGTGTACCTTTGTTAGGAGTTTCCCATTTATCCTGCATTCCACCGTGACGGCCAGGAATGGGAGCTGTTTGATCTTCTCCTCTTCTCTGGTGAATCTGGTTCCGGTGAGGGTGTTGTTTATTAGTTGGCGTGTTTCCTCGAATTTGGCCTGTTTAATCATAACGAAGGTGTCATCCATGTAGCATATCCATAGTTTTGGTTGGATTAGCAGGAGGGCCATACTTTCAAGTCTCTGCATCACCGTTTCAGCTGTTAGTCCGGAGACAGGTGATCCCATGGGTGTCCTGTTGATCTGTTTATACATTTGGCCGTTAAAGGTGAAGTGGATGGTGAGGCATAGGTCCAATAGCTTCAGCATGTTGTCTGTGGCGATGGTGTCACTGGGGTCATGTTTTTGTTTTAGTAGTGTTGTCATTGTTTCTCTTGCTAGTGGTATGTCTATCGGTGTAAATAGGGCAGTAACATCAAGTGATACCATGGTCTCGTTGCCATGCCGATGGAGATACCAGATTCAAATAACAGGTGGGAAAACACAACAGCGCTTCATCGGAGGCTGCACTGATGATGACACCCAGCAGGGTAATGAAACGTCTGTGGAGCAACGAACTAGTTCGGCGAGCCAACCACTCACATCATCCACAACGCAAGCTACAAATCTACTCTAAAACCTTAGATATTTGGTAACTTCTGGGGGGTAATTTGGGAGGCACAGCAAAAATTAGTCTCATGGGAGAAGAAGCATACTAAGGGGAGGATGAGGCGATCATGGCTTGCAGAGGAAGTCATGGACAGCAGAAAAGCAAAATAAAACAAAAGTAACAATACAAAGGAGTATTTATTGGATGGCAGATCACTAGGAAGCTCTGAGCAATAGAGGGATTTTGGAATGCTTGTCCACAGATTGCTGAAGGCAGCAGGATAGGTTAGTAGGGTACTTAAGCGTATGGGACACTTGCCTTTATCAGTCATGGCATAGACCATAAGAGCAAAAAAGGAGATTATGTTGGAGCTTTACAAAACTTTGGTTGGACCACAGCTAAAATACTGCATTCAGTTCTGGTCTCCCTACTGTAGGAAAGATGTTGTTAAATAAACTTGAAAGAGTTCAGAAAAGATTAGCAAAGATGTTGCTGGGATTGGAGTGTTTGAGTGATTGGGAGAGGCTGAATATGCTGGGGCTTTTTTTCCTGGAATGTCAGATAATGAGGAATGATCTTTATAAGGTTTTATAAAATCATGAGGGTCATGGATAGGGTGAATAGCCAAGGGCTTTTTCCCTGGCTAGAGTCCAAAACTAGAGGGCATAGGTTTAAGGTGAGAGTGAAAAAGATTTCAAACAGACCAAAGGGACAACTTTTTCATGCGGAGGGTGTACGTGAATGGAACGGGCTGCCAGAGGAAGTGGTGGAGGTGGGTACAATAAGATTTTAAAAGGCATCTGGATGGGTATAGATAGCAAGGTTTAGAGGGATACAGGCCAAATGCTGGCAAAAGGTAACAGGTCGGTTTAGGGTATCTGATCGGCATGAACAAGTTGAACCGAAGAGTCCTTTTCCATGCTGCATAACTCTATGACTTGAAGACAGAACAGCACTGACAGGTTGGAATTTATTGAGAGATTGCGTAGCTTGATAGACTGTTTTTCTGTCTTTGTTTTAACCTTCGGGCTTGCAGTGTTTGATCTTGGTTCTTTTACTGTGCTTGGAATTGTTACGTGCAATCTTAAGAGCAAACACAGCATTGGATTGCACAGGTGCTGTGTTGCTGTGATCCCAGTGTAATGTAAATGGAATCCAGGTGTAAAATAAGCAAATTACTAATTGTTTCATGCAATTAAACCATCAAAGGCATTGCATTCTAGATTCCCATCACTGTCTAGGTGAAATTTTATTTTCCTCAAATCTGCTCTAAACCTCCTACCTTTCACCTTAAAATTGTGCCTCCTTGTAATTGACCCTTCAACTAAAGGGAACAGCTGCTTTCTATCCACCTAGTTCATACCCCTCATAATCTTATATACCTCAATCAAGCCTACTCTCAGCCTTATCTGCTCTAAAGGAAATCGACCTGAGTTTATCCAGCCTCTTTTCACAGCTGAACTGCTCCATCGCAGGCATCCTCCTGGTGAATCTTTCTGCAATCTGCTCTGCTGCAATCATGTCCTTCCTGGAGTGTGGTGACTAGAACTGCACACAGTATTTCAGCTGTGGTCTAATCAAAGTTTTGTAAAGCTCCAACATAATCTCCCTGCTCTTATTGTCTATACCATGACTGATAAAGGCAAGTGGCCCATATGCTAAAATCCATCTGCCACTGATCTGTCATTGCCTTCTTGTAATAATGTTGAAGAATAAGGGACCCAGCACTGATAACTTGTAGCATGGCACTGAATACCAGCCTCCAGTCATACAAACATCCTTTTACCACCACCCTTTGTCTCCAACTACTAAGCCAGATTTGGATCCAACTTGCCAAATTGTCCTAGATTGCATGTGCGTTTAAGGCACATCGTGTAGGCAGTAGCCGCATGCACTCCATGACCACAGACATTTACATCCAACATGATCCAACATTTAAGAACCCTGATGGCACATCTCTGATCCATTTACAGTATGCTTCTGCACATCAATGCTGCCCTTCAGGCTGTATAAGCAACTAGCATTGTAATGCTACAGCAAGGATACTTTATGGTTAGGAGTGCACCCTTAGCTTGTGGCCAAGTTGCATCTCTGGCTCACTGTCGTAGGCTCACAGTGAGTGAGCACTACCTGGATGGCTTACAGCGTCTCTGCCTTGCATTATCTTGTCTAACCTTTTTGTAGTTTCCCCCTCAGCCAAATATGCCAGTATTGCTGTATTGATATATCATTTAGGACAACACAAAGCCAGGAAGCTTGTCATGATCATCAGCAGTTCTCAGTCAAATCAAGGGAGATGGCCTTTGTTCTGAGGGTCCTGACACAGTAAGTTGAGGGCAGTCTTCAAGGCCAGTGGAGGGACTTAGACACAGTCA